AAAGTAAACAGGGACCAGGCCCTGTTATTTCCGAGGCAGAGAGTCCAGACACGGAGCCAATCATAAAAAACCCCATGGGTGGACAGGCCCTTCCAGGCAAAACAAAGAAGTGTTTCCCTTCTGGGGAAAATGGGAACTCTGATCCATCCTTGCTTCTGAGCTCAACAGATTTCACCATTGATTTGAGGCCCCAAGTAAAACAAGAGAAGCTTCCTTGTCCCCACTGGCTGTTGTGTCCTGTCCCTACAGGAGATGTGGTTTTCAAATTAGCTTCCCCCCAACTTGAGAATTACTAAAAGGTGCTACATGAGCATAAGTTCAAATCTGTTCTTTGACAGCAAATACCCATTTTCCTTTGTTGTCATTATCTGTTCAATATAAATAATTGCTCTTCATGGTAAAAAAGGTCCTTTCACTTTAAAGCAAATGGAATTATGCTAGTGCTAATCTGCTCAAGGGCAAATCCATTAACTTTAGATTACAGAAAACTGTATGCACAAATGGGCTTCCTATAACCCAGCAGTAGCTGAGATCATGGACTCATAGACTTTAAGGCCATTGATCAGTCAGATGTAATTAACACTAGTGAAAATGTATGCATATCCTTTCCTACCTCAGGGTGTCATGAAGCTTAATTAGTGAATGCTTGAAAAGCACTCCAAGATCCTCAGATGAAAAGCCCCCTGCAAGTGCTAAGTGTTATTATATAACACTTCACATGTTTAGATAGCATTTTTTTCCTATGCCCTCATGTGTTTTCAGAGGTATTATTATATCCATTTTACAGATGAAGCCAGAGCACAGAGAAATGCAATTACTTGCCTCTTACCACTCAAGTCAATTACAAAGTTCGATCTTCTGACTTCCAGTGCCCTGTTTTAACTCCACCAAAACTAAACCAGAGGAATATTAGCTCAGGAGAACTAATGAAAAGTATATGCCACAACTCTAGTAGTCCAGCGCTATACTGGTAGGAATAGTTTCCTTTCTATACAACAGGAGTGCAGACTATATATGTATGGACTTCAGACTATATATAGCCCACAGAGTACATCATAAGGCCTGCAGCCTGCTTAAAGCTATATGTGAAGAACCAATTCATTAGCATTTTATCATGCAAATAGGCAACACATCACATAGAAAAAAACTTCTCAATTCATGCAAAACAAACTGAACTTAATATATAAAACAATACAGGTGACTTTAAATCTTATTAAAATACATAGAATCTGTTTGGCCCACACAAGGTTGTGCTTAGGTTTATGTGGCCCTCCCATATAATAAGGTTGGGCACCACTGCTGTACAGCATATTTACCAACAAACCACTTGTGCATCCTAATGGCCAGATTCATATTCTAGGTACACTTGGGTAAATTCAGATAGTTCCACTGAATTACTCCTGAGTCGAGTTACTCTGGATTTACAGCAGAGATCAGACACACTCTCTAGATTTTATGGTTCAGGTTATAATTTATTAACTCGTTTTGAAATCTAACCTTTTTTTGTAAAAAGAAAAAAATAAGCCAGTCAAAACACCAAAACTCTTCTATAAATGAAAATGTAACCTTCAAACCATATTTCACCTCTTCCAGCTGCTGTGCAATATAGCAGCCTTCCATCGTTATCAGTAAACAGTGACATCTAGTGGGAAAATGCTTCTATGACATCCTACTGTGGAGCTGGTTGTAAATCCATTAATATAGTGGCACTGGCAAAACAAGATTACTAAGTTATACAACTCCTTTTAAAAGCAAATCTTCCACCAAAATAATAGTGAATGGCAGACTGAAAGTTTGTAGTCATGGTTGGTGAAGTGGAGAACAATTAGTAAAACATCAATTTCCACTGTAAATTATTCTAGGGTAGCCTTGCAAACTCCACTTGCTCTAACAGACCAGTATCAAAGATTTTTTTCCCTCAGAGCAGCAGCATAACTACAGCAAAAATATATGCTAACTCAGGTCAGCAGCACCCAGCTGTGAGCATCTGTGGGGGCCGATCTCACGTGCATCCGCACTGCTGTATGCTTAGGAACTGGTCTAGAACTTCTCACAGCATAATCCACAGTTCTGCAGTAAACTGTGCTGCATTAATTCTTTCCCAACGAGTAGAACTAGTCTGCCTGAACATACAAGGAAAAGTGTGGGAAAGCACTGGAGTACTGCCAGTACTAGAGCTGTGTCAATAACTGGTTTTTCAGTTCGGAGGAAATAAAAATTATTTTGCTTGACCTGAAACTACAATTTAAGCTAGCTAAAAAGTAGAAACATTTGTATTCATTCAAATTAAACACTTCATTTAGATTGAACATTTAACTTTAATAAAAAAAACGGAAGGAAATGCCATAACATCTATTTCAAATAAAAGATTAATTTATTCTGTCAAAAAGAATGTGATCTGAAAGTGCTTTTCAAATATTAAACATAACAGCCTTAAGATAACTCATACCCACATTTGATAGATTAATAACTAAAACACAAAAGAGCTTACTTATCTTGGCTAGAACCACATACAGAAGCAGTGAAAAAGCCACGAAAAGAAACCAAGAGTTAAGTTTCAGACTTCTGCTCTGTTAGAGAAATAAACTTACTATAACAATATTACTCCTTACAAGACACAACACTGCTCATCCCATAGATTGCTTAACAGGCAATTTGGGAAAATGCAAGAAATACAATATAGGCCACATTAGCAATAGCAGTGTAAAGCCATTGGCTTATAATCATTCCAAAGCAGCTGCATGAACATTGCATAACCCCATAGCTAACTGGGAGAGATTAAAACTCAGGAGGTGATGTTATTTCCAACTAGAAGATTCAGCTGCTGATGACACAATATGGTGAAGAGGGCAGGTGCTTGAATACTGAGATACAAGGTACTGCATATGTTTTTAACATAAATGAAGGTGAACAGGTTGCCTGAAACTGTTTCAATTAGTTACTGCAATTAGGGAGGTTAGCTATTGAGTAAATGAAGTCATGTAACTGCATGAATTCTTTGCAGTTACATGACTATGCAGTTATCCCCAGGGATGCAGCTGGCCCCACTCCCTAGGAGCCTGCTGCCACCCTCTGCTGCTGACTCTGCAGCAGAGGCAGCAGCACGGGGTGGCAGAGGGAGCCTGTCTGCAAGGGGAGCCAGTTTAAAAACCAGCTCCCCTTATGGACTGGCTGCCTGCACAAGATAGCAGCAGCCCCTGTCTGTAAAGGGTCTGAGCTCCCAGAGATGTGGAGCAGCTGCTGCCCACCGGGAGCTTTGATCCCCTGTGGGCAGCAGCTGCTACCATAAAGCAGCCTCCGCCCACTGGGAGCTCGGACCGCCCCCCCCCATGGACAGGGTCTGCAACTGCAAAGCAACCTTTGCCCACGGCAGGCTCAGGCTTGTGGTATTCTATAGAACAGCATCTGTCCGCAGGGAGCTCAGACCCCCCCAGGGACAGACACTGCTCCACAGCAGCCTCCCCCGCCCCACCCTTGCTGCTGCCTCTGAGGCAGCAGCGCAAGGGGGGAAAAGGGAAGGCAGCACTGTGGAGCCAGTGCTGGTGGAACCAGCTTTTAAGATGGCTCCCTCCATCACCTGCTCCTGCTTCCCCCTCTTGCCTCTGATACAAAGGCAGCAATGGGGGGGAGGGGGAGAGAGGAGAATGCAAGTAGCCAACAAGATTAAATCGATAAGCCTAGGCATATCGGTTAATCATTTAGTCGACTATTTTTCAAAAGTGTCTCTGGGATTACTCAACCAACTGTGCTTAACTTCAATATTAAGTCTAAGATGGATAAAGACAGAAAATGATGCTACTGAAAATCCAACATCAGCTTAGTACCTATCACATCAGAGCCGCAATTACATAAGAGCTGCTCTAGGTAAAGAACTCAGATGGGATTTATTCAAACAAGAGCCAAATGGTTAAATTTTAACCCTTCAAGTTTCAGCACCTAGCTTCAATACACAGCATAATGACTGCTCTCATAAGAGACACTTATTTATGACTGTCCACCCAATTTTCCCATGTTTCTGTAACAAAAAGCCCACGATTCTGCATACAATAGGGTGAGCTGGAAGCACTTTTTAATGAGATTGCCTACTGTGCTGGAGTCACCCTTATGAGAAAGCATTCATTGCATATCTAGGACATGTATCAACTGGGAAATGCCCATCATAGCAGGACCACACTATGCTATGGGGTAGGAAACTCCTCCCATGCCGAGCTTTTCAAGATCAGCCTGGCAAGTATAGTTTCTAGCTTTATAGTCTGCTTGTCATTCAAGTGTCTATCATGTACAGGGTTTATTGCCGATATTTTACATTTACAATAAACTCTACATGTTATTTTCTATATTATTGCTTCTAGCTAATGCAACTATATTTTGGATTAAGGAAGTGGCAGCCAACACAACAGAAGAGGTTACAGCAGCCTTGGTAAGTAGTTATGCAAGAACTGCATACTTTCAGAGGACAGAAACATTCATATTCAGGCTGTAAGTGGATTTCTTGCAGGATCACCAGCAGCTTTGGTTAAAGTACACACTCTAGAAATCAAGATTACACAGTTCTGTATTAGATATCTATATGCCATCTCAGTGAGTTCATACAGCAATTCCATAGGTTGACAATCCTATGCATAAATGAACTTTCCTTTGCTTTTACTGCTTCTAAGGAGAAGCAAAGTAAAAGTGGCAAAGAACATACTAAAGCTGGCAACAGGCAGAAAGACTACTCATGGGATCTATCCTGCTATCTTTTTATACAAACCTCTACTGAAGACAATGAAAGTTGTACCCACAAATTCATAGCAACATGTGGCCCTTGAATACCTACAACAGTGTTTCATCCAGCTCCCTGCAAAACATACTCTATTGTTATTAGAAAGACTTCTTATTAAGCTTCAAGCAATTGCTCCAGTTTTCCAAATAGTTGACCACCTCCTTTTGTATTACTTATATACTTTTGAAGTACGTAATCTCTTCTTCTTTTCCCCATTCAGTCTCTTCTACAGTCATATGTAAAGATTCCTTTATTAAACTGCTTTTTATATAAAAACATATTTACACTGATAAGTCATATCACATACTAAACAGCAAAGTTTTCATTGTATTAGCCTGTTACATTAACATCTGACAGCACCACACCCCAATTCACAAACAGCGTATTTATCCACAATTAAGTCACCCATGCAACAGTTTTCCATTTCCCCCCAAGTCAGACTTCAACTGTAAAGGCTGAATCATGTTTTAACTACATTCTCACTATTTGAAGGGTATATCTGTGATAAGTGGAGTACAGATTAAAGCAGACTGGTAATCCTATATTAACACAATTAGTTTGATGTTTAATTTAATTGGGTACTAAGGGTACATTTCTGGAAAGTACCCTCACTTCTGAACATCAGTTTCTCTGATCCTCCTGGGACACTATACAGCAGTTTATATTTTTAGCTGCCTTTAATACTTATCACTTTCTACTTCACAACTTATGCCATGTGTTATGTTAACTGATGCTTTTATTACGACCATTAAAAATGGGTATTGGTATATACAGACATCACGTGTGAGGGGCATAATAGAATGACAGAATCTGTTTTTCTGAAGTGTGCAGATATAAAAAGAGGTTAACAGCAGCATACTTTTATTTCTTTTTCCCTTTAGAAGGTTTTGCAAATAGTGCTGGATCTATCTGGTCTTTAGACAGACCTCTCACTGAGAAAAGCCTCATAGCTCTTTCCTGTAAAGTCCCTCCACATTTCAGACCCAGAACCATCAGTTCGAACTTGAGCGTCTCTAATCCTAGCTCTTCCATCTCAGCAGCAGAGTTGAATGCCAGCAGATCTATCTGTGTAGACTCCTGCAGAGAGAACATGCAATGAATTCACTGTTTTAACAGATTTACAATATGCTCTTCTTGGAAACTAAATAAGCATTAGCCAACAAGAATTCATAGTACAGAAAATATTTACTCAGGTTTATTTGGAAATCACCCAAACACTTTCAAAGTGTGACAATATATTAAACATCTATGTACAGCATGTAGGATATTTTCACAATTAAATTTGAATTCCAATAACCTAAGGGTCCATTTTGTGATCTACAGACAACTATTTTTCTAAAAAACAAGGAGTCTGGTGGCACTTTATTAAGGTATTAGGGAATAAACTTTCATGAGCTACAATTCGCTTCATCAGATGTTGAAAAAGAAAAAAGAGATACACCAAGAAGGCAGTGTGACACAAGTGCTAATTAAATCAGAGTGGATGTGGCTTATCTCCAACAGTGATGAGAATGAGAGAGTATCTGATTGGGAAATGACCTATTGCCACCCCAACTCTGAAGAACTGGGTCTTGCCCACAAAGGTTCATGATACTATGATATTTTTGTTAGTCTCTAAGATGCCAAAGGACTACTCATTTTTACAGAATTCTTAAACATTTAGCAGGTCAACAGCTTTATCCTTCAGTTGCACAGGCCATCCACTGCCCAGGACATTTATAGCTGCAAGACTTCATTTAAAATATATCCAAGATGAAATAATCGCCATTAGTTGCAGGGAAGGTGAATGGGACAGCCTACATTTCTATTGCAATCACCTTGAAGCTTCAAGAACCATAGATAAAATCTTTTTATTTTAATAAAGAGTTTAGGGGAGAATAAACTCTAGGGCTATGTCTATATTGCACCTCTCTTCCACAAAAGCTTATGTAAAGAAAGCATGGATTAGCACACTGCCGCGCTTCCTTTACACAGCTCCTTTTTGTACAAAAGCCCCCTCTTGTGCAAGAGCCGTTCCTTCCTGAAAAAATGAGAAAGAACGGCTCTTGCGCAAGTGGGGGGTTTTGCACAAAAAGGAACCATCTACACAGCTACTTTTTGTGCAAAAGCCGGCCTCTAATTAATTATGCAAATGAAGTGTGGCAATATGCTAATCCGTGCTTCATTTGCATAAGCTTTTGCAGAGGAGAGGTGCAGTATAGAGGTAGCCTAGGAGTGCTTATCTCAACACCTAACATAGCTAATACTAACCATGCCTTAGATGAAACTGTTCATTTGTCAGACCAATACCCAGCCATATTTACTTGAGAACAAGATCTAATTCTGTACAATATACCACACTGCCAAGTTACACATGCAAAAACAACCCTCACTGTCTATTAGCAATGAGTGGAGCTGTTATGAGGTCTCATTGCTATGGTCACTACTTTTACAAAATGCTGGGGCATTGTTATACTTTTTACCACCTGCAATAAGAATTTATTATCTAGTTTTGTGTTCACTCTAATTTTTCCCCACTCCTGAAAGGAATGAATTTTCTTCTGTGCACCAATATGGAGGTAATGTGCAACACATCATCTTCATATTGGTGCACATAACAAAAATAATATGGCAGGAGTGAGCCCAAGAGGTTCTGAATGTGGGAGGGGACTCCAGGCTGGGGTAGGGAGTTGGGGCTTGGGCTTACCTAGGCACTGTCCTGCTGGGAACAGGAAAGTAGGAATAAGGGATCTTCCGGAAAAGGGCTTATTTTCCGCAAGATCCTGTCTAGACTGGCAAAACCCCGAGCCGGAAAAAAGCGGCAGCCATGTTCATGCAAATGCCACGGGGGATATTTAAATCCCCCGCGGAATTTGCATTCCGACTGGTCTCATTAGCATCCCTTTTCCAGAAAGGGGTGCCAATGTAGACACAGCCCAGAAGTATCCTGAAATAGCTATTCCTTGTCTACTGAAGAAGCCCATCAGCGGCATATTCTGATGTCCCGGGAACCCTCAAGGGTTAAGGGGCATTTCGGAATAGTGAGTTACTTTGAAATTTTGTGCTGTGTAGACAGCACCAAATTACAAAATAAACTATTTTAAAATACAGTCAAAATAAGCTATGCAATTCGCATAGCGCAAATTGCGTAGCTTATTTCAAGCTAAGGGTGTTGTGTAGACTCAAAGAGACATACGGCAACCAAAGCTCATTGCCTAAATGAGAGCCAAGTCTCAGCTAAATCAGTGTACTGCTTGGACAAGCCACCTTAGAAGTGTCTATATAAGAGAAAACCAAGAGAGATGAACTAGTCAATTGGCTTTTGTCTGCTCCAGACACCCCAAGTGACTAACTTCGGTCACCTTTAAGGATGAATATTAAGGACAACCTAGACTTAGGGCTCATCTTCACTTATCCCAAGATCAACGATCTGGAGATTGATCTCCCAGCGATCGATTTAGTGGGTCTAGTAAGGATCCTCTAAATTGACCACTAATGGCGCCCCTCCCAAACCCCCACAATGGTGAGACTGCAGAAATTCATCTTAAGGTATGTTGACTCCAGCTACGCTATTCTCGTAGCTGAGATTGCGTATCTTAGGTCATCTTTCTGCCATAGTGTAGACCTGGTCTTACAGATGATGTGACCAAACCTGATACAGCAACTGGAAAATCTTTCATCCGATAAAATAGACTACATTTTCCTCAAGGAAGAACTTTTCACATGAAGTTCTCACTGAAGTGGCCTCACCAGCTTCCCCAGGGCTGGAGATGGCATCAGCTGAAGGTAGAGAGGTGGGGTGGATCCCAGTGGCTTAATGAATAAGGCTACACTTGTGGAAGAGAAGGGAAGTCACTCGTGAGGAGTGCCTAACCTCTTCAGAAAGGAGAGGAGAGAACAGATAGCTTAAAACAGCTAGACATGGAGAATCCTAAACGGGTTAGGATTCAGATGTCTCAGAGACTAACATTCTCCCATGATCTATTACTCCAGTTACAATCTGAAGCTTTACTGCTTTGGCGCCAGTGCTGAAATCACATAGGTTATGGAATAGGCGTCACTGGAGGATTCTCTGGAATTAGTTTCTATTAGGAGTACAGGGCTCTTTTTAGCCCATAGCGCATTATTCTTCCTCCTTTCATTATTCTTCCTCCTGTCCCAACTAGTGGGATTTTTCAATTGAGTTAAGGTAATAGCTTCGGGGTAATATCAATGTGTGTTTAAGATAATTAAGTGTCCTCAAAACAGTAGAATAGTGATAATTTAATATCACCTAACCAACAGATATATGGACAACTATGATATTGAGGCAATACAGCCAGTGAAGAAGCATTCTAGTTACCATCCCCTGCAGGAACCCAGGCACACTAGTATGTTTTTATAAATACTTCTATTGAATGAATAGTAATTCAAAAGGCAAACCAAAGCTGACTATATACTACAGATGTTAGAGGCTGGCAGACCCACTCCCAGGGTGGCTTTGCTGCAGGTTCTGAAATATAAAGCTAAACTTTATATTGCAGAGCCCATAGCATGTGTAACCACTGAGATTTTCAGCAGTTACATGGTTACCTTATTACGTGATTTTTAACATCCCTACTATACACATCCATACTCATCAGATGTTTGGAGGCAAACTCCTTCTCACAGGAAAGTGTTCTAAAAATACTTAACTGGATTTTTATGTGTAATATATTTTGCAATCTGTTGTAGATCAATTTACAGTAGCAACAGAGATGGACGGTTCGGTTCGTGTTTTACTGTGCTTGCAGTCAGTCCTCCATTAAAAGAGCCCAGCCTACTTATATGTGAAGTAGTTTAGGGAAGAAGGAAAGCTTCTTTTCTAAACATGTTCCTTTGAAATGTAGCACACTCCAGGATGCCAAAGATCTGACTTGACAATTCATCATATTAGAATTCTTGCCCCAAGAATTCTAGTCACTCCTTGGTCCCTGTCTGACTGCAGAAGATGACTCCTGCATACCAAGAATGTTAAAATGTGGGTATTTAATTGAGTAGTCGATAAAAATTCTATCAACTACTCGATTAGTCGCTAGACAGCCTGGCTCACAGTTCTGGCTTGTGCTAGGTGTGGGACCAAACGTCATGGCAGGTTCCTACTGCGTTTTAAATTGCAGAGTTGCAGCAGGGTTTTGTCCCGCACCTGGTGCAAGCTGCTATCCAACTGGCAGCAGCCTCTGTGCATGGGGGTCTTAGCAGGGATTTGGGACCTCCTGCATACAGGGACTGCTGTTGCAAAGCAGCACCTCCCTCCCCACCTCTGATAGAGGCAGGGGAAAACGAGTAACACTGTGGTGCACCAGCTCCTGCTCCCCCCTAGCTGCCTCTGATACATAGGCAGCAAGTGGGGTGGGGGCGAGGGGGAGAGACATGCAAGTAGTCAACACAACTACCCTGATAAACACAGGCTTATTGGGTAGTTGACTGCTCCTTTACATCCTAACTGCGCACAGATCTTTATAGGATCTAGCATATCAAAGCTAATTTGTTTTAAAATGGTACATGCAGTGACTTGGATTGTTTTGAGTGGCTGTAAGGAGCTACTTAGGGACCACAGAGAGCAACCTTTAGAAATAAGAATTGTCATGAGAACCATCAAGACAAGTTAATTTTTAGATCCAACAACTTTGGCTGTGGCTCTTTATGTCAGTTTGGTAGGTCATTCACTACCAGATGATAGAAAAAGTGGTCAAAAGATAGATGAGGGGAACAGAGGAAAAAGCAGCAACAGGACCATCTCTAGACATCCACATACAATATGCTTACCTTGCTCTGCAACTGACTTGTTTCCTGCGGAGTTGCTGGAACATTCTCTTGCTCCGCATCCTTCAGAGTTTCAGCTGCTTCATTTTGTTCATCAGCTGCTGGAGTCTCAGTCTGCCCTCCTGCAGGCACCTTCTCTGGTAGGTCTTCTGGTTGTTCCTGTGATTTCTCAGGAGCACTAGAGGTTGAAGTGCATCCAGTGGAATCTTCTGAGCTACTGGTCCACTCACTTGCGAGTTCAGTCTTTTCAACATGGCTACCAGTTGATTCCCAACTAGCATCTGCTGTGGTAGGAGGATCTTCACTATCCCCATCATCTGAGCTCTCAGGATCCTCCAGTCCTTCCACTCCCATCCTTTCACAAAAACATTGGTTAAAATATTTAAATTAAAAAAAGAGTCACTTTCCCCTTCATCTGCCTAAAAGAGCTCATTGTACTGGCCCAGTAGAGGACTACACTGAATTATCTCCAGACCAATGTAACTGCTTCACTCCAAAGAACAGAAGTCACTATTACTGTACATAACTCCAGACACTCCTTCAGGAGCCAGATATACTTTCTAAAGCACTCTTAGTAAAGAATGAGCCAAATTCACTACTGTACTGCCACATGGCAAAACACTGACCACATGAGCATCTTGGCTATGTTTAACCATCCTACTTCATTTTAAATAATGGCATTAAAAACTCATTTTGTTAAAAGAGGAGAACAATTTGTAATCCTCGCATTGTTTTCTCTATGAAAGATGAACAGACTGGAGTGTGGAAAGATGAAAGATCAAAAAGTCTTCGTTACATAAAGTAGGAAAGGTTGAGGCCAGCTTAGTTATCTAGATTAATACAGATGAGGGCAGGGCAGCAGGAGTCACCAGCATGGGTGGTCAGTAATATAGGCAAGGGAAGGAACAGCCTTCCCAAAACTGTCTACATGCCCAAACACCTAAGGCTGGGGCCATTGCCAGAGAGGGCAGGGGCCATGACCCGGCAGCACGACTTCCCTCCGGTTGCCAGGAAGGGCTGGAGCTAGATCTGTAGCATGGCAGCACCAGCCTTCCATGTGGCCAGGAAGGAACAGGTTGGGGTGCATGGGACTTGGCTCCAGGGGTGGGGTCTTGGGTGGAAGGTGCAGGGCTGAAGTTTGCCTTCCCCAGCTGTCTCCCAAGGGTGCGGGGACATGAAGAAGTAAGAGGGAAAGATAAGAAGGGTTAAAGCTCCTTCAGATTAGAATTTCCCAGTTCCTGTAAAATGGCAGTAGCACTGTGCCTGGTAACAGTCAGCTGTCTGACATTTTAAAATCCTTTGAATTTTATTTTATTCACCATTAGTATAAAAATAGATTCTTTCCCCCTTGGTAATTATTTGTTACTTTTCTTATATGCAGTTCAAGCCATAACACTTACCAAAAACATTTTCTTTTCCCAAAATTAGCTCCACTCATTTCAGACTCATTTGGGCGCTTTCGACAATCACTGGTTTCTGGTGACACCACCTTACTGGAAGAGGCCTGCATTCCTATAAAGCAAAGTTAAAAGTTCAGTAGCTTTGCAGATTTATTTTACTCTATATTAGGTTGTCAGGAGAATACCAAGTCCATATAAGAAGACTGAGCAGCTACTTGGAGTTTTAAAAGGAGAAGAGGATGCTCTAGAGTTCCAATTACTTTCCGTAAATACTTAAGTGGCATTATTTTAGTATTGGTGAAAGGGGTTGGACTAAAAGCCCTCAAGAGTGAAGTTTTCCACAAACTGATAAGTAGCGAGGACAGAAGCAGCAAAAGCTTCTCCACAGGAGCAGAGCATCAACCTTGAACTGGACAGAGCACTTCCGAGGTGAAAGG